GGGGGGGGGGGCGGGGGCTCAATGTCTTACATTAGCGAGGGTCAAGGAAATGTGTTGAATGATTGTCCTTTGAACCACATGGCTGCCGCTTGGCTTTTCTTGGGCAGTGCCTGTGAATCTGAACAAAGACCCGGCCTTATCTGCTCAAGGGAAAGAGGAAGCTGATGGTAGGACACCCTAGACCCTTGGAGGAAGACTTATTATTATTGGCATCTACCTAAGTGCCTAATTAAAAGAAGCTGATGGTGGGACACCCTAGGCCCTCGAAGGAAGACTTAGAAATTATTAGCCTCTGGCTAACTACCTGACTGTACTGACTGTGTATTTACATTTATATATGCTCATACATATAATGTATATACACAGAGTGAGAATATATAACATATATTTCAAACCATCAAGCAAATATAATACCAAGTATTTTACATTATATATAATTTTTTGCATCTGTAATCATACAAAAACGAAAACTATTGAGATCTGCTATTCAGATCTAATCTATATAGTGTACGTCCATGATGAATTATGTGTCCATGACATTAATATGTGTCCATGACATTAATATGTGTACATGACACAGATGTTGGTGTCAATGTCACCAGCTGGACGTGAGGGTCTCAGAGCGCCTGTAGACCACATGAAACTCACGGCGTGATTGATACCGTGTCTCCTACGGTCCGACCCCGGAGCCGAGACCGGGATCAGATATGGCCCTTTTTAACAATGAAAGGAGTGACGATTCCACAATGTGAATGAAAACAATGACAGGCCAGGGGGCTGATTTATGATCGAACTGATTAATGGCCCAGGGAAAGCTTTTGTTTCATGCTACTGTTTGTGTGTTTTTAATAATGACAGTGTCTTTTATAAGAAATTACCCAAAATAGGCTGTTATTTGTTAATTCTTCCTATACTGAAACCACTTGACTTGAGGGGACACAAATATTGTAGTATTATGCTATTACTTATGTATTAATTAACCAGAAACTGTTACATACTCATCTCATTTTAATTCATCATTAATGAATCATGACGCATGTTTTTATCTCAAGCAGTTACTATATAGTCAAACCTCAGATTGCGAGTAACTTGGTTTGCGAGTGTTTTGCAAGACGAGCAAAAATTTAAAATAACTTTTAACTTGATAAACGAGCAAGGTCTTGCAATACGAGTATTATGTATACGCTTTGTCTGCCTACCGTCACGTGATCACGACTGACCTGATGGTTCTTCTCTCTCTCTCGCTGCGAGATTGTGGGTAATCGTCTCCCATGCTGGGTCTCAGTCGGCGTGCCTCACTCGAATAGTCAAAATTTAGTAGAAAAGCACCACCTGAATAAGGCCGTAGCAGTGCGAGCGATGAATCTGTTTAACGACAATGCAATGTCCACATTTCCGTGAAATGGAAAAGGAGGCAAAAGCGGCTGTCATTGGATAGGTTCCTTGTTAAAGTCGCACAAAAAGAAAAAGATTCCAGTGAACCAACAGATAGCAGTGATTCCGTTAGTTACAGTGAAAGTCGTCCTACAAAATAACCCTCCTCTTCTCCTCTCTCCTCTCGTCTCCCTCAAACCATCCATGATTCTTTTCGAAGGTAAAGTGCAGGCTAATTTGCTTTATGTATTTTTACTTTATATTTTGTATTAATCATTTTATATGAATATTTTTGGGTTGTGGAACGAATCATCTGAGTTTTCATTATTTCTAATGGGAAAATTCGCTTTGATATACAAGTGCCCTGGATTACGATC